ATCCCACTCGGCACCCCGAGAGCTGCAAGGGCATCCGTGACCAAGGCCAGCAAAGGCATGGGGGGCGAGCAGGTTCCCTGGGCAGGTTCCCTGGCTGTGGATGAGGATGGGTGGGTACCAGGCGTGACAATTGCCCTCCAGAGCAGGCAGGGAGGGCTGGGCATCGCTGTGCCAGCCGACCCCGTTAATGAGCCCGCCTGCAGAGCTTTGGGGCTCATCAACAGCAGGGAAATGTCAGGAGAGCCCCAGCCAGGCTGGCAGGAGCTGGGGGTGCCTGGGGAATGCTGGTTGATGATCCAGCCCAAGCTGGGGCTGCTGGACATCATCGAGGGAGCGTTGGATGGGAGAGGTGGTGGTGGGCACCAGCAGAACACGGGTTTGAGCGGGACATGGACCATGTCCTTGTGCACATGTGTTACCCACCTCTCCACCCAGCCAGGGGTCTTCTTACAACTCCAAGGGAGGAAGGTCTCCAGAGGCACGTGGGAAAGCCATTTTGGTGCTGTTGATTCACTTCTCCCGTGAAAGGCGTCCTTACCCCTGCCCTAAAGGTTCAGCTGTGCAGCCAAGAGGCTTTGGGCTGAATTCACACGTGTAGTAGGGAAAAACGACAGCAATGAGGACTTGGAGGTGTGAGTTGGGCACACAGAAGTGAGCAGGACCTGCCCCTGGGGGTTTCTAGCTCACATCCAAATGTGTTTGGTGGCATTTTGCTGAGGAGCCTCGCTGGGGTGTCCTGGTCCCTCTGCCTTGGGCACTGGGGCATTACAGCCTCTGAGCACAGCTCAGCGTTGTGCTGGATTCTGCTCCCAAGGCTTTGCAGCGGGATGTGGGCTCCACCTGGAGAAAGGCCAGCTACACATTTCTCTCAGCTGTAGAAGAAGTTGAATTTAGCATTAGTGTGTGGATGGGGGACTTGGCCCTTGTCCCTCCAGCCCTCCCGTGACAGAGCTGGAGATGTTTCCCACCACCATCTCCACCTGGCCAGGAGCTTTCAGAGAGAGGACACAGGGGCAGGCAGGCACCATCCTTTTCTCAGTCATTAAATTTGCCTTTTTCTGTCTCACTGAGCTGTGGCATCGACACAGCTGAAGACCTTCCTCACCCTGGGCTGGGTGAACACCCGGGCAGCAGCCAGCAGCCTTTCCCCAGCCTCAGAAGGGGATGGTGGGCTACAGGTGACTGGGAGGAGCAGGAGAAGAGGTGATCCAGCCCTCAGCATAATAAATAGCAGCATCACACACACCACCTGCCTACCCATTATCAGCTGCTTTGTAGGCACCCCAAAGAGGTGGAAGGAGAGGTTTGAAAGGGACACCAGAGGCTCTGAGCTGCCTTAGAGCTTCTCCCACGTAGAGGGACGAGGTGAGAGAAAACATGAAAGCATTGGTAGGTTGAGTCACCAACCCTGGAGGGGTTTAAGAGATGTGTAGATGTGGCACTTGATGTGTTTTAGTGGTGGGCTTGGCAGTGCTGGGTTAAGAGTTGGACTTGGTGATCCTAAAGACCTCTTCCAACCTAAATGATTCTGTGAAAATCTAGAAAAAAAGCAGTGTCCAAGGGTTGGCTGGGGGTTCAGCTGAAGCCTCCCAGCAGATCTGAGGGCTCACGAGCATTTTCACCCCACAGTTTGCAAACAGGGGAAGTGAAGTATCAAGGGTTTAGGTGCTTGGGGGAAACAGGCAGCATCCAGGTGTCCTCCTTCCAGCTGAAGAGGCAAGGAGGGGGCTGGGCTTGGAGGTTTCCTCCATGCAGGGTTTGCTCTGTATGCTCTGGGGCGAAGGAGGAAGGTGGGGGAGATGCAGGAGGTGCCACTCCTCCTAACAGAAAACAGGTTTCCAGTAACTGCAGTGGGTTTGCACCTTAATTATTTCCTTTGGCTCTGCTACTGGGAATGGTTGTGTCCTTAAAGTTGTTACAAGGGCAAAAGAGAGAGGAAAAGCAATCCTGACATCCTGTCCGCTGGGTCCAGATGTAGCTGGCAGAGTACAAATTAGCGGGTGGAGAATGGAATCGCTTAAAAAGAAATTTAATGAGATCGGTATGCAGGCATCTGGTTCCTATCAATCATCATTTTGTGTGATATGCAATGGTAAATATCATCTTTTAATGACTCTGATGGAGAAAAAAAGCCCAAACCACACACACGCACACATAATGATCCAAAAAACTCCCAGAGCCTGAGAGGTTTGAACTGTCAACATTTTCTGCAGATGGAAAAACCCCAACAGACACCTCTTCTAACTCACCATTGTTGGATTATTTTATTTCTTTTTTTTTCTTTCCTCCTTTCCTCTGGTTATATTTAACCTTTGTGTTAAATTAATCTTCTCTGTTTATTAACAACTACCACTGAGTGAGCCTCCTTCCCTCTTCTTTGTGGTTTGACAGCTCAAATATTTGCTCCAGGCTGAAGTTCTTGCTGCAGGCGCCTGCTGCTCTCCAAGGAGAGGTGGCTTTAGGTCTCTGGCCATCCATAGCTTTGCTCCTGAAGATGTTTTGGGCTCCTCTGTTTCTGTTTTCCACCAAAGAAATCCAGCAGACGCAGGACTGAACGCATGAGCTGAGGGTTTGCTGGTTTTACATCCCCTGAGAAAGCTGCTGGGCTCAGCTCCCATAGGGGCATCAGCCTGAGGGTCTGCAAAGCAGGGAAAGGTTGGAAACCAAGGGTTTGGATCCTTCATTGCTCTGGTCTCACCAGGCTGGGGGATTTTGAGGGTTTAACCAGTCTTTGCTCCTGGAATATCTGGCCAAAAGTTGGCAGAGGTGGAGATGATGCTCCCAGGGTCTCTTTTTGGCCCTTCTCTTGTTGGGGACACGCTGTAAATCCTCATGCTGCAGAGGTCAGTCCCCCCTTGCTGTTCCCTTCGTGGTTCAGACCAGGAATTTTCCTCAGCTCATTTCCCATGCCTTCAGAACATCCTGTCCTTCAGCTGAGGTAAAATACAGCTTTTCAGGGAGCTTCCCATGGTTTGGGGTTCTGAGGCTGAGGCGTGCAGGGAGCAGCTGGCAGCCTCCATTCCCTGGCTGGGCAGCAGGTCCCACTTCCAGTGACATCCCCTGCTCCCAGTGCCTGGGGGGAGCCTGGGAAGGGGAAAGATCTATGGTGAGCACATTTCTCTCTGTGCACCTCTATGAAAAATCCTGAGAGAGAGAGAAATGTGCTTGCCACAAAGATCCACTAGCAGGGATGGTAAAACCCTTAGCTCTGACCCTGGCAGGATGATTCCTGTTGGAGCTGGAGCTGCAACAGCTGGAATAGAGGTGGGAGGGATGGGATGAGGGCAGAGGGATGCTGAGTTCAGCTGGAAAAAAATGCTTCCATCAAACCAGGGCGGAACATTTGCCCTTCTGTGGGGAGATGCCCAGGGCAGAAGTCTGAAATCCTGGGAATGGTGTTATCCATGCAGCCTGGCCAGCTCCATCCCCCAGCAGCTCTCTGGCAGCTCTGGGCTGAAGGACTGAGCATCTCGGTGGCAGCAGGAGCTGCAGACAGCCAGGCCTGGGAGTGATTTCTCCCGACAGGGACCAGATGTGTCAGGAGGAGCTGTGCTGGCGGGAGGAGGCTGCACAACAACAAGAGGAGTTTTGTCATGGGTTCCCTCTGGGTTTTAAAAGCAACACCTTGTCTCCCCCTTTCCACCTTCCTTCCTCCCCCACCCTTTCTGCCACACATTCTTCACACCTCCAAAACCTATTTTGGGCCATCTGATGAATCCCAGCTGCCTTGGGGAAGCAGCAGAAGCGCTGGTGCACTCCAGGCACAGCTTCACGCCGCTTCCTTGGCAATGCCCCCAAGTTTCACAAGCCAAGGGAGCGGGGGAAGGAAGGGAGGGGGGGGAAAGGAGGATAACAAATTGGTAAAGGAGCCTGATACTCAATATTGTGATTATTCATGGAGTGGTGAGTGGGGAAGAGGATCCCACCTGGTTCTGGAGAGAATAGTGATGGTTGGAGGGAGAGGTGGGATGGGTTCAGGCTCCTGTGGTTTGGGGTGGTGCTTGGGAAGGGGGTTAGGGAGGGGAGCAGGCGGTCTGCCTGGAGTCAGGAATGGTGGGGGACAGCCTGGGAGCACTCTGCTGCCTCCTCCTGAGCATCCTCCACCGGCCCAGGAGCCAGGGAGGGAGCTGGGGGAAAGTGGGAACCAGCACTGACATGGTTCTCTCCTGCATAAATTAGGTGGAAGGGGGTGGTTAAGGTGACTCAAGTCAGCCCCAGCTGCAATCCTGGCATGGGTGGTGTTGGCATTGGTGGCTCCAGCCCTGCTCCTTGTTGTGCCCTTCAACTCCCTGTCCTCTCCAGCCCTCCACTTCCCTGGGGAGCTCAGCATGTCAGCTGTGACCACAACTTTATTTCTTTTGGCTGCATTTCATTGGGGTTGATTTAATCCTGCAGAAAAGAGGGTCCCCAGGCCGCCCCACGGAGGGGTTGGTGAGTTTTTGGGGTATCCTTGTGCTGGGAAAAATGTCCCAAATGAGCAGTGACATCAGCTCAGGCCTTAGGTCCCACTGGAGACTCTGGTGGGGCTGATCCACGAAAGGTGGGGCAGCTTGGATAAGGGGAGACTGTTCTGGGTGGCAATGCAGAAATAAAGCCCCTGGGAGCCAGGAGAGGCTGGATGGGATAAAGAGAGGTTTTCATGCTCGTCTCCAGCTCTCTGAGGCAGGATGTGATGTTTTGATATATGTGGGCACATATGCAGCATCTGGCACACCTGGGTGGCATCTCTGGGCATCAAGAGCTCAGTCTTGCTTCTGCTTTGAGGATGAATATCCAGCTGTGCTGACCTTGTAGCAGAGGGGGTTTGGGAAAAAGGCATCAACCTGCTGGTTTTCAGACAGCTGAATGCTGCAGCTCCTGGGGAATTTGATAGGAAAATCAGCCCTGGCTGTGTGAGACACAGGGGGTGGCTTCCAGCATCTCCATCCCCCGTGCTTTGCTTTAACCCCTCAGCCTGCTCTCCCCCTCCTGATGGCATATCTGTCTGCTCTTTTTGGAAGGTTTTTTGTGAACTTCCCCTCGGCCAAGCAGTACTTCAGCCAGTTCAAGCACATGGAGGACCCGCTGGAGATGGAGAGGAGCTTGCAGCTGCGCAAGCACGCTCGGAGGGTCATGGGGGCCATCAACACTGTGGTGGAGAACCTCAACGACTCTGAAAAGGTCTCCTCTGTCCTGGCCCTGGTGGGCAAGGCCCATGCCCTCAAGCACAAAGTGGAACCCATCTACTTTAAGGTAAAGGATAGGAGCAAAATAACCTTTGGGCTGCTTTAGGAAGAGGGCAGGGGAGCAGGAGCTGTGGGGAGCTGGTGCTGCCTGTCCTTGGCTGGACCTGGGGGCTGCTCCCCACACTGCTGGAGGGTCCCACTGTGGCACTGTCCTCTGGGGACCCCCATCCCCACCCAGAGCCAGTGCCAGAGCGCCCAGGGCAGCCCACCTGGCTGTGCCCACGTTTGTGCCTGTGTCCCCCTTCTTCTGGAAATCAAGCACAGCAGCAGGGACTCAATTAGTTGGCTAATTAGCCCCCCTCCAACTCTGCCTGCTTTCTTTCTGATGGGAATAAAAACACCAAAATCACAGGTTTGATCCCCACGTGGCCGTTCACTCAAGAGCTGAACTAGATGGTTCTTATGGGTCCCTTCCAACTTGGAGTATTCTGTGATTCTGTAAATAATTTGAGGTGCCCAGACTGGGGAGATTGTTGTTATCGGACACCAACTGAGTACACAGAAACTTGGTATGTTTAAAAGAGAAAAAGAGTTAATTTTATTGTTTACTTTGTAATATATAGAATTTTAAAAGTGACAGTGGATTGGAAGATGAAATTGCTACCTCTCCAACCACACTGGTTAAACTAAGTTTGTTAATTTTCTCTTTTTACAAAGAAGAAGGTAAAACAATCATTATTTACATGGACAGTGTGTGAGAACTCTAGAGAAATACATAAGCATCAGAAGGTATACAAAACTTTAAAAAAAAATTTTAAAGTTTTAAAAGAACTATAAAAGAAAACTTAACACTTTTAAAAATCAGGGCAACAGGGAGATGCCTCAACCTGCAAGCAGCTCCCTCCTCTGCTGCCTGTCCTGCTTGCTCCCAGGGGTGTCAGCAGACCCCCAGGACATCTGTGTCCTACAGACAGCAACAGGACTCAAGTGTTTTTGTAGGAAAAAGCTAAAATTGCTGTGAGCATCTCCCTGGAGAGTTATTAACCCCTTGCTTGCTGTCTGCCTCCCCTCAGAAACTCACTGGTGTCATGCTGGAGGTGATTGCTGAGGAATATCCCAACGATTTCACCCCGGAGGCACACGGAGCCTGGACCAAGATGAAAACCCTCATCTACACCCATGTGACAGCAGCCTACAAGGAGGTGGGCTGGGCTCAGTACCCCACTGCCACCCTGTGAGCGCCCAGGGGGCCACGAGAGGGGCAGGGAGGGCTTCGCTCACCCCAGGACTTCACTCTGGTCTCTTCTCAAGGTCTTTGCTCGGTTTGGGGAGCCCGGTAGGGCCAGTTCTGTCAGCTGCCAAGTCACAATTTGATCTCCATGGGGTTTAAAAACAAACTAAATAAGCCAAAAAAACCACAGAACCATGAAGGGTGTGGGTGGGTCGGGGTGAAGCGGTTGCAGGGGACGCTGGAAGGGGATGCAGAGGGCGAGGGGAGAGCATTGGTTGTTGGCTCCATCTTCCTGTCCTGGCCTGTCCATCACCACCTCCCAAATCCTGCACCTCACCTGCACCATCTCAAAGTCCCTTGCACAAGTGCTGCCACCCTGTCCGCTGAGGAACAGCACAACCCTCATTTTCCACGTGAAGCCCCTGGGTAAACCTGGCTTTTGGGGGCACACCTGGAGGCCTCTGACTGGCACCGAGAACGCTTTGCTTTGCACTTTGAGTATCACCTGGCAGGGCTGGCAGCCAGAGCCACTCTGGGTGCTCCAGGTGGGCAGCAGCGCTCACCTCTCCTGTCACCCGCAGTCCCTGTCCTTGGCTGGCTGCTGCAAACCCTCCTGGGCTGGGAGAGAAGCTCCCCACAGCACCAGAGAGCGGGAAGGAGGGGGATGCCTTTGGGGGGATCCCTCATGGCTCGGAGCCTGGGGTGTAGGTGGGATCCCTGTGTCATATTGGGGAGCTGGTGAGTCCACACACTGCCCTCCAGCTCCCTGAGGAGGGGCTTGGGTAGCACAGGATGTGCCCGGTGTGTGTGGGTCTGTCTGCCCAGCTCTGCCCTCTCCGTGAGAACGGGGGTCAGGCTGTGACTAGGGGAAGGAAAGATGGCACAGACATATCAGGAGGGATTTCTGGTTATGAGGAAAGGTCCCTTCTCTGTTAAAATTAATAAACACCTTGTATAGAGCATATTCCTGCCCTCCTGGTGAAACTGGGTTCCTCCCAATAAAGTGCCTGGTAGAAATCAGCCCACGCAGGAGCTGTGTCCCTCCTGGGGACAGCAGGGCTCCTGCCTGTGCCTGACAAAGGCTTCTCCCACACCCCCAGAACGTGGCTGCAGGGCTTGGAGCACTCATCCCGCCTCCAGCACCAGCTCCTCCTGAACCTCCAGGTCGGTCTGCCTGGTTTGTGCCTCAGTTTCCCCTGCAGATATGAAAATGGGAGGAGGAGCAGCCCCGTTGCCTCCTGCCCACATGTGGTTGGATTTATAACATTTCTGGGAACTGAATGGCAAAGGATTGAGGATGAAATGTCAGATGTGCTGGGAATCTTTGGAATCCTTGCCACCCAATATTTCCCTGAAGGCCTCTGCTATTTTTAGAGCTCAAGCATTAAGGGCAATGTTATCTGTTGAAGTGGGAGGAGGGTTCCCTTCTGAGATTCCCTCTGGCCTCGTTCCACCGCTGTCCTGGAGAGCTGGCAGCTTCCTGAGAGAGACCAGCTCCTCTCCTGGATGCCAGCTGGACAGGCAACAAGCCACAGTTCCAGCTGGGATCCCCACAGCCACCTTGGGGACATCCCTCCAGTGTGGGGGCAGTGCCACTCCTCCAGAGCAGACGGACAGAATCTCCTGCTTTGCTCACCTGTGCTTTTAATCATCCCCAAGAACAGGTTTATTATGTCTCAAAACAGCCCCAGGACTCCAATAATGTCAGTGCAGCCACTCTGGCCTTGCAGTTCTTTCCTTCCTGCATCCCACTGATGGAGAGGAGCAGCAGGGCCTGGAGCAGTGGCATGTCCTGGGTGGCAGGAACAGCTGGGGCACAGCCGTGTGTGGCATGGCAGCGTGCAGGATGCAGGAAGGGACAGGCACAGGGTGGGCTGTCAGGGTCAGCATCCCCAAAATCCAGCCCAGCAGCCTGCACGGATGGAGGTGCCAATGGCTGCTGCCTCCAGCTCACCCTGCTCATCCCTCGAGGGGCAGTGGAGGCATCCCTCAAACAGCTGCTGCTGCCTGGGGTGGGGAGGGATGGGAAAAGCCTGTTCAGCCACTGACTTCCCTCCAGTGAAGGATCACTTGGATCAGGACTGTTAGATGACATTTGTGTGTGTGCACATCACGGGACTCACGGCTCTGCTGACTCCTTGGGGCCAGCAGCACATATTTCTGAGCAGTTCATTTCTCTGAGGAGTTCATGTACTCCCTGTGCTCTGTGGACGCTGGGCCAGGGATGTTTCCGTACAGGGATGTTTCATCTTTAGACAAAATTTGCACATTAACCTTTGAGGTTAATCATCTCCAGGTGGGAATTTTATTTTTGCAGCGCAAACCCTTCCCCTCCCTCCCTCCCCACAACCAAAACTGGGCTCCCAGTCTGCAGAGAAGCCACTTTGGAGAGTCTGGAAATTCTCCATGCTCATGCCCAACCTACCCGTGTGCCTTGGCTTTTGGGGAGCAGCAGCAGGGAGGTGCCCCCACCTCCCCATTAAACAGTGCTTTGGTTTCTCCTTTCTTTTTTTACATCCCTAGAAAAAGCTGGCCCGTGGCCCCCTGCGCCCACGTGTGCGTGTGCTGGGCTTGGGGTTTTTTCCAGGCACTTTTTCCTAAAGCAGATCCAGATGTGTGCAGCTGCTGTCCCTCGAGGAGCACCCCCCCACCACCATCAGCCAAATTTCAGGCCACTCCAAAAGATGCAAACAAAACCACGTTTATTTTTATCAGCTTTGTAGGAAGTAACACGGAGCAGGAGGGCGGCCGGGGCAAGGCTCGGGAGGGGAGGGGAGGGGATGAAACGCCTGCAGCAAAGGAGGCACTGCTGAAATCCAGCAACATTCTCATCTGGGGGGAGATGAAGATCAACAGAGTAAGGAAAAAGTACCATTCCAGAGTGACAGGGCTGATAAATGCCATGTGGAAGAGCAGAAAGAGCGGGGGGGCATGTTCTGGCTCTGTGCATGGCTCTCCAGCACACACACACACACACACACACATCCATGCACAGCCACTCCCTGGCCCTGCCAGCCCACTGATCCCACCACAGCTGACTGGGGGCCCCTTTATCCCCCTTTTGTTCAGGTGTTGCTCTCTGGGGCTTGATCTTTCACTTCCTGGCACACTTAGGCTGAGTTTTGCTCTCCTTGGTGGCGGCAGATAAGGACCAACTGGCAAAGTCTTTTCCCCAGAGCTCACAGGTGGGAAGCTGAGGCATCACTGCCAGCACATGTTGGGGTCTCTCCCCTGCCCGTGGAGGATCCCTGTGCCCCCCAGACCCAGCCAACCCCTGGCATTATCATCAGGGCTGGGCTTGGAGCTGTGATGCAGGTGGGAAAGCCTTTGTGCCCCCTGCCAGAGGCAGAGAAATGCTGAGTGAGGGAGGATTTGGTGTCCCTGGGGCAGGGGGACTCCTTGAGCACCTGGTCCTGGTCTCTTTGGCAGCACCCACTCACATCAAGCTGCTCGTGTCCCCTCCCCTGAGCTCAGTGTTTGGTCAGAGGAGCTGAGCAGAGTGGGGGGCACTGGCTTGGGATGGGGCACAGATCCCACCCACCACGTGTCCCCCTCCACAGCCAACACTCCTGGCAGTTTAGCTCTGCAGGCACTCAGCTGGAGAGACCCCCTGACACCACCAGAACCATCATGGGCCTCGTGCCACCAGCCTCATCATCTTCTCTTGGGGGGTGACAAATCCCCAAGGCAGCCGAGCCACGAGCTCTCCCAGGAGAGGGTCACAGCGTCCCCCCACCGTCTGAGGGGATGCTCAGCGACTTCAGGGGGGACCAGATGTCCCCTGGCTGGGCTCTGGTGCCAGCACTCAGCCTTCCCTGCCCCTGGCCACAGGGAAGCTGTCCTGGGATGTGGGAGCACCATCAGTGGCAGGCAGAGGGATAAAAGGGAAACCCCGCTGACCTTGGACCAGCTTAGGGAAAGGGAGGGACAAAACCACCTGCCTGGCTCTGACCTCTGCCAGGCTGCAGCACTCGATTCTTTTTCCACAGCTGAAGTTGTCTCTAATTGTTGGTATGTCTGCCCCAGCCCCAGCGTGACCCACAGGCACTGATGTAACTCCGTGTCTTTCCTGTTCCTGCTGCAGATCCTGTTCATGTTCGTGTTCCCCGGCGCTTCCGTGCTGGTTTTATACCTGAGTTCCGTGTATATGGGTGTAACTTGTTTTTCTTTTTGTAGGTTTTTAGTATGTTTGTAATCGGACAAAAATGGTGTTATTAAACTGAAACTTGTATCTTCAGTGGATAAATCAATCAAACCCCCTCCAGCTCTGCTTGGTTTCTTTCTGATGGGGTGGCTGGAAGGTGAGGGGGTGTCGGGGGGCTGCCCTGTGGGTCTGAGGGTTCCTGCTCACTCTGAGGGAGATTTTTGGCCGTGTAGCAGCAGCAAAGGGGGTGGATGTGCCCACCAAGGGTGGCAGAGGTGCTGGAGGCATCTTAGCAGTACACTCCGGTGGGGAGGGAGGGGTCTGCCCCTCCTCCAGGCTCTTCACTTGGCTTCCAGGTACATCCTGGAAACCAGCAGAGCCTCTGCCTGGATCAGGAGCTATTCCTGTGCCTTTGGCAGCCCAGCCAGTCCAAAATGCTTGCCAATGGCCACAACGTGCAGCGACCACGACCACCAAGGACTGTGAGACCGTTCCCAGCCTGTGAAAATAACAAACAGCTCCCTGAGCAGCAGCAGCCCAGTTTTCCACGTCTCAGTCCCTGGTGGCTCCTCCTGCCCCTCTCGCTGAGGCTGGATCACGTTGCAGGGGGATGGAGCCCAGAAGGGTTGGGTCACTTTGTGGTTTCCCCCCGTGGGTCTTTCCAGCTCCCTTTTTTTGCAAAACAGGCCCTCTCAAGTTCAGTTGACACTGGCCAATCTTTCCAAAGCTGTTGGCAGAGGATGGACAGACAGACAGACTCGTGCTATGGTCCCAATAGCCCCATTGCTGTGGAGGCTTGGAAAACAAATTCAAGCAATCCTGTTTATTGTGCTCCTCTTTACCCCAAATCCAAGACCATCTTCCAGGGATGGGAAAACCCATCCCATCAGGGTGGTAGAAAATAGCAGCGCCTTACCACAAATAATTTTAGGGGAGCAATCCCAGCTTTGGACTGAGGCTGGGGGGACATTCTTCTGAGAGGGAGGAGGGCAGAGATTGGTGCCTTGGAGGCTGCTCAGGGTCTTGGGGAGCCTGGTGCCAACTTCTCCTGTTGGGCTGAAGGCAACAATTCTGTTCTCCAGCCCCCCAGGTTGGAGAAAGCAGCAGTTGAGTGGTGTAGTTTTGCATGGGCAGGCACCTGAGCTACTCTGGAGTCCCCAAGCCACAATTAGAAGGGTGGCCTTGCAAGAGGAACCTTTTTATTTCCTACAGCTTCACAAAACTGAGCCAAAGCAGCCATGGCCACAGAGAAGGGATCCAGAGGCCTGCTCACGTGGGGAGGGAAATAAGTGCTTGGTTCTATCTGTCTTCTCCTGCTGTGTCTTTTCTTGTGGGGTAAAAAGCCACTTGGTGCTGTTAATGTGATTAATAAGCCGTCCTCGGAGTCTCTGCCACATCCTGTACATGCTTCCAGGCAGAAGTGAACAGTCAGCAGAGCCTGCACACTGCTCTGCTCCAGATGGGAACCATCAGCTGGGAAAGCACGAGCAAAAGGACTCAGCTCTGCAGTGGGGAGGCTGCAGTGGGCACCCAAAGCTCCCAGACCTTTGCACGCTGAGCTGAGAGTAGCCAGGACCAGCAGTGGCCAGAGGGTGCTAAAATGGGGCTGTTTTTCCTAACAGCTTGTTGAAAAGGAGCAGGGAATTTCAGCATTACCTTGCAGGGAGAAAGTATGTACACAGCCCTTCACTTCGTACTAATATTTACCCCCAGATCCTGTCACGTCAGGGTGGCTGTGACGATCACACCCTGACCCAAACCCTGTGGCCTCACCAGGCTCTGAGAAAGCAGCTTGGTGGCCCCAGTGATGTTTTGTGGGCTGAGAGATGGAGGGAAGGAGGGATTTGATAGCTAAGGGATGGCACAGGGTGTGCTGCAGCTCCAGGGAAGCCTCTCCATCCCCAGCAGTGGCCACAGGGCCCCGTGCTCCTGCCCAAAGCCCGTCACAAGCCGGGGGAGCGGTGGCTCCACCGTCCTGCTGCTGGTGTGGGGTCAGAGGTGACACATCTGCACCGTGTGTCCTGGTGACAGCTGCGGTCACTGTGAGGGACAGGCAGAAATGCAGCTGCAGGGGGAGATTAGGAAAGCGAATCTGCAATAACTGCACTGCAGTTTTGAATATGGCTATTGAAATTCCTAGGAAACCCCATCCCACGAGAGCTGGCAGTAAGGAGAAGTGCTCCCATAGGTGTGGGGTGGCACAGGGTGAGAAGCCTCGGGAGACAGAGCTTGCAGATTCCCACCAGCTTGAAGGACATGTCCCTTCTTCCTCTGTGTTATCTGCACCAGGATAGGAGCCAGGAGCTCCAGGAATCCTGCCATGGCCACCCTCACCAGTGTGGGGGTTTTGGTGGCTCCTCGCTCTGAGCAAAGCCCCCAGGGAGAAGAAAAAAGGCAGGAAAACACCCTGGCAGCCCAGTGGGGCTGACACTGAGCAGGAGCCAGCCCTTCCTTCCATGCCCGGCTCCTCTTCAGCCTGATGTGGTTTATCTGAGCAGCGCTGGATGTAAACGCTGTCAGCTCCAGCCGGGATTAATTCCCGGCAGTTTGGCAGCCGGGATGAAATCACAGCGCTGCGGGAGGGGCTGGAGGAAGGGGGGAAGAGCACATCTCAGACTGAAAAATCCTCCCGCTTAATTTACAGCCGGGTTTCTCTTCTCAGAGGCACTGGTGAGAGAGAGAGAGCAAAGCCGGGGGCAGAGGGAGGATGGGGAGGGCACCGGCAGCAGGAGGAGGGCAAGGCTGGCATCCCAGGGAGGGCACAGGAGCTGCTCCCAGCCCAACCCAATCACCCCCAGGACCCCCCGGCTGCCACTGGAGGAAGGGCACAGGGATGCTCCTGGACCACCCGAACCCCGAGAGGTGGCACCGAGCCCGGCAGGAGCCCCCACTGCTCCCTGCTGGCATGGGGGGCACTGCCAGCCCCTCTCTGATGAGCGCCCACCGCCCTCTCCTTGGGGAACAAACCACCAAAAAACACATTCTGGTTGAATATCCCCATCTCTCGCCAAGAGATCACCCAAGGACTTTGCTGCTCGGGGCATTCCCAGCCCGAAATAGGTGGGGCTGTCACTGCTGTTTATTACAAATCCTTTCTATTAATTGATAAATGTATTTTCTTTAAGGGAAAGCTTTGGAAAACTGCCCCGCTCCGCTGTTGTTTCAAGGCTGATGTTCCAAACCGATCCTGAAATAAAATAAACATCGGGCTGTGCCACATTGCTATCGTTTATATTTATACAGCAGAGGGGTTTGGTTTGAGGATACTTTTCTAAGGAATAGTGTGGCTTTCATTTACTTTCTTTGGATATTTAAATAAATAACCACAAATGCTTTCACTTATTTTCATTGTTTTCTTGGTAGAGGACTAAAAGCCAGGCAGTGCACAGGCAGATAAATTGATTTATTTTGAACTTAGGAAAGCCCATGCCCCATCTGTCTGCCAAGAGCTGTGCACCACTTGGGGCTCTGCAGACAGCAAATTATGATTATACTCAGGATTTAATTTTTTTTTTTAATATTTCATATATATCTACATAAAATGTAGTCCCTGGCCTGCATCTGCCAGGGCACTGGCTGGATAAATATCAGCAGGAGGGGAAGATCGCTTGGCAAAGGTCAGCGCTTTGCTCGGATCCTTCCTCCTCTCCAGGGCATCCTCGGGGCATCCTCTGCCCCAGCCTGAGCCCCAGAGCTGGGGCACAAACAGGTCCCCACCAAGCCAGGCTATTCCCAGCTTTGGCATCTGACTGAGCAGCCACTAGAAAAGAGATTCCCAAGGTTGGACCATCCTAGGTTGTTTCACAGAGTTGAGGGAGCAGGCAGCTCCCAGCCTCCTGACCTTTCCTGCTCCGCTAAATCACTCCAGAGTCCTCCCAAGAGTTTATTCTTTGAGAAAGCAATAAGAGAGGAGGAAAGCCCAGAAGACAAACTCCCACCAGCTTCCCTTTGATTATATTTGATATTGTTTTACTTCTTAATGCTTTCCCACTGTAGCTGACCGAGGAGGAAGGGAGAAAGGGAGGGCCAGAGGGCAGGAGGAGACAGAAAGGGGCAAATATACAAAATTTCCCACTAATATCTGTGGCTTAGGGTGGCTCAGTCAGGATCTGAGGGTAACAGTGACTCTGAAGATGGGTGTCAGGGTCCCCCAATCGCCCAGGCTGTGAACTGGGGTGAGCAGGAGCATCCCTGTCTCTGCTGGGGCACGGGGGCAGCTGCAGAGCCTGGCACGGGCGGGCAGTGGGTGCTGGTCCCCATGTCCCAGCCCCTCGATGGCTGAGGCAGGTGACAATGACACCACAAGCTCCATGTGGCACACAGCCGGGTGGCACTGCCGGTGGGAAGCCTTTGGAGGAGCTTTCCTCCCAGAACCAGACAAGAGTTCCCAGTTTGCCCAACAGGAAAAACTTCTCCTGTTTTTGTATGAAGCACCAAGAGCCACGTTGTCCCCAGGGCTGCTGGTGAGCTGGGCAGGGGTGACAGCTGTGACACCGGCATGGCACCAGCGGCACTGGTGGCAGGGAGGTGACAGGGAAGGCAGCGCTGAGCGATGGCAGAGGCTGAGCATCCCCTGCTGCTGCTGCTGCTGCTGGAGCAGCTTCCATCCCTGCCAGAGCAGTTCCATCCCTTCTGGAGCAGTTTCCATCCCTTCTGGAGCAGTTTCCATCCCTGCCAGAGCAGTTCCATCCCTTCTGGAGCAGTTTCCATCCCTTCTGGAGCAGTTTCCATCCCGTTCCATCCCTTCTGGAGCAGTTTCCATCCCTTCTGGAGCAGTTCCATCCCTTCTGGAGCAGTTTCCATCCCGTTCCATCCCTTCTGGAGCAGTTTCCATCCCTGCCAGAGCAGTTCCATCCCTTCTGGAGCAGTTTCCATCCCGTTCCATCCCTTCTGGACCAGTTTCCATCCCTCCTGGAGCAGTTTCCATCCCTGCCAGAGCAGTTCCATCCCTTCTGGAGCAGTTTCCATCCCTGCCAGAGCAGTTCCATCCCTTCTGGAGCAGTTTCCATCCCTTCTGGAGCAGTTTCCATCCCGTTCCATCCCTTCTGGAGCAGTTTCCATCCCTTCTGGAGCAGTTCCATCCCTTCTGGAGCAGTTTCCATCCCGTTCCATCCCTTCTG